TCAGTTCTTTGACCCTGCTATATAACTGTGCATAGGAGGGGAACCTTTTAAAAGCACACACATTGACAGTTTTTAAGGGAGTATTTCTCAATTTCAGCATCAAAGAGTACTGATGAACACTGCAACTCCATGCACCAGGCCACAACTCCTTTCACTGAAATCTGGTCTGGCTGCTCCTTCCTTTATCTCACCAAATAAAAAGGAAACTTGGAAAGGGAGGCTATTTTGCCATTGCTCCTATGCCAAAAACTATTTATTGTTTTCTTGCAATTTCATTGGAAACATGAAATTTGACTGGACACTCCTCCGTGTGACAAAAGGGTGGCCTGGCCAAATTTCAGTGACTGGCCTGGGACCCTTTGAATGAGTGGTAAATTCTTCTGAGCCCCATGTGCTAATATTAACAACTGGATTTAATAACTATTCATGTGACTCTCCAGCAAAATTATTGTGAGGGGTTAAGCAATCCTGGGATTCCATCTTTCATGTTAGTTTCATGGTAAAGTGTGCACCAGAAGGAAAATGAGTGTGTGAGAGTTCACTCCTTGACCATCAAGACACAATAGTACATGAAATACGTATAGCATTGTGACAGCATCATAATGCCATGATAGAGATATATCATAGTTATTGCGTTTACAATTATACTTATTTCCTAAACAAGCTATACACATAAAATTTAAATAAACTGTATCATACCTGCATATATTATCTGACTATTTGTCACCTATTTACCTCTTCTGATTCAGAAATAGGGACTAAATGATGGTGCAGTATAAAACTTATATCAGCATCTGTGGAACATATGTATCACAGGACTCAGACATTTATTTCATGTATACTGTCTCTGCATATGGCATAGTTACATACACAGGAAATATCTGATAGGGTACGTCTATACAGCAACATTATTTCAAAATAACTGAGTCCTTGTCTATATAGCAGGCAATTATTTTAAAATAATGTCAAAATACTGTCAAGTTGGAGGACTTCTTACTCCAACTCCTGTAATCCTCATTGCACGAGGAGTAAGGGAAGTCGGAGGAAGAGTGCTCTGTTTTGTAATTAGTGCTGTGTAAACACTCCCAATTTTGAAATAAGCTATTTCGAAATAAGCTATGCAATTGACATAGTTTAATTTGGGAAGTTTATTTCGAGTTAAGCCCTGCTATGTAGATGCACCCCTAGTGTGATGCACCCTGAGGAAAATATACCGAGCTATGTGATCACTACTTCTAATCCCAGATCACCTAGGGTGCATCTACCCAGTACCCTAAACTCGAAATAAGATGCGGACTTCACACTGTGCATATTGTGTATCTTATTTCAACTGAATTTCAAAATAAACTATTTTGAAATTTAGTGCATCTACACAATGCCAAATTTCAAAATAACACATTATTTCAAGACATCCCTTAACCCTTGTGGAGCGAAGGTTACCAGGATGCCAAAATAGCACACCTGTTATTGAAATAATGGGCAGCTTCTGAAGACTTGAAGTATCTGTTTTGGGATATCTCCACTATCCAAAATAGCCATGCAGTGTAGATGTACCCTACTGAATGCTTTTAATATTTCTCAACACTTCACAGTCTTTATTAATTTAGGCCTGGCACCCCACCTTCAGAGTAGGAAATTATTATTCATTAATTTTATACATAAATTAATTCAGAAGTTGGACCCATTATTGCAAAGAAAAAAATCCCAGATATCCAAGATGAGAAACCCAACTTTCCTGTATTGTTTTTTTTTAATGGTCCAAATTATGTCTTGTCCAACTCATACTGACACATGGGTGTTTCTCCTTCTCTAATGTCTAGACCACACTTGACTACCCTAGATTCTATTCTATTCCCAGAGCTAGCAAGTGAATAGAGGAATCCTGACTCCCAACATTCTCGTGTTGATTTAAAAATGATTGTGTGAACCACTGACAATATGTGTGTGATGTCTCCCTCTATGGTGGGGTGGAGACCTGCTGGTCCACGCAATGCACATGGTTTGTCAAGGTTAGTCACTGGCTACCAGATAGCTTGTTTACCTAAACATCTGCAGACTCACCTGCTCCCAGCGGCTCTGATTCACTGTTCCCAGCCAACAAGAGAACAATAGGAGTTGCAGAGCTCAGGTAAATAAAGCATCTGAGGGCCCACCAGCATTTAAAGCTGACAAACCAATGCACTGAAGGTTCCCCAACTTTGCTCGATGGGCTGAACCTCATTAAGGAGAACACCATATCGATATTACCTGTAATGCTACAGATGAAATTGCAGAGGATTTGAAAGTTGTAGTCTATTCCAAGTAGGTTCTTTTAGCACCTTAATCACCATAGGATCTAAGTATCTTTCAGTAGTACATTAAGGCTACGTCTAGACTGCAAGCCTCTTTCAAAAGAGGCTTTTCCAAAAGATACTTTCAAAAAAGCCTCTTTCGAAAAAGAACATCTTGACTACAACCAGTACTTTTGAAAAAGCAAGCTGCTTTTTCTAAAGAGAGCACCC